TTTATTATCATAAAGACAAAAATCTTTTGAGAACGTCTGTTTTTTGGGTTGGCAAAAGGATCAGCAGAAAGAGTTTTTAATGTTTGTTTATTATTTTAATTATTATTATTTTAATTATTTATTTATTGTTCTTTGAAACTGATTAGTAATATATAAAAATAATATTTTCTATATTTAGAAGTTAATGAAATAAAATTTTTAATCTTGATATTAAAGATTCAAGAATTATATGTAAATGCTGATGGGTGTTTTACTATATGGAATAGTTTAATATTAATATAATCATTTGATAAAAAAAAACAAAATAAAGAATATTAGATACAGTATATAGAGTTGAAAGCCACTTTTAGTAAAAACCTGTTTCGGGAATCCGCTAAATGGAATTACTAACTATAGTATGATCGCAACTACGATCATAAAAGCATTTCTCACATACGATCAGATGTTTGTGCAGCCACAGATCAAACAATTTACTTCTTTAACTACGTTCAAAGCTTTCCTTTCCGTACTGTAAAAATTAGCGAAAATGAAGTTGTGGGATTCTCTTGAATTTAGCGACCAGGGAACGATGGACGATAAGAGTTTTTTTGATGGTTTTTTTAAGTTGTCAAAAACACAGCGACTTTATGGTTTCGGAATTTGGTATGTCAACCATTTATTATTGGTTTTTGTTTCTTGAACACCTTTGACTCAATTTACATTATTTTTTATCACATAAAGCTTTGCTGCTGGTTTTGCTATTAGCATAATTGTAAAACCTTATTTTTCTCAGTTTTCGTGTCAGATACTTAATAATATAATGAACATTAAAATTAACACGTAACTCGTTATACATATAGTCAACGATTGCATTGATTCGAGGAGATGTAGTATTATTTGCGATTTTTTATACTATTGGTAATATTATATCTTTTTTAAGGTATGAATAATACAGTTTTATATTAATCGCGTATAATTTAGAGGTCATTAATTTCACAACTCATTTGATAATTTCTATCTATTTTATAGTACCGGTTTTCTTGTTGGATTCGGAAAGCAGTTCAAAACAATGTTTGCTCCAGGTAAATTTTTGTCACGAAATATACATAATGGATTAGCAGACGAAATGAAGTGTTATTTGCAATTTCTAAACCTATGCTTATTTAGTTCGATGGATTGCCAGTGCAATTGTTCTTGTTGTAATTGCATTGACTTTAGTTGTAGCGTTTTGGGTAAGTCAGATTTGCACCTTCTTCGCAATATTCTGTTTAGTACAAGTGCTAAATATTCTTTGTCATATAGTTGAAATCAGGAATATTGTGTCTTATCTTGTGTATTATTCAATTTATGGCGTTATTTTGGTATAGGTGAGTAGTTTCCTAAGATGTCTTGAGATATAATATTTCTTCAAAAACCTAAAAAATAAATTCATTCTTCTTTTTTTATAAGTGCAAGTTATATACCTTATGGAAGGTAAATTGTGATCTGAATTTAATAGGCTCGTTTTACTAATTTAGTACTAACTCACGCTTTTTTCTTAATATTAGAACTATTATTAAAAAGGTGTTTGGTAGTTGTGTCGATAGTATATGAATTGATTCAACAAATTTGCTGTACATACAGTAAAACATATTAAATTTTCCCTATCATTGTTCTCTTTACAATTAAATGTTTTTTTCGTGTACTTTATTTTAACAATTGTACATAAATATTAGTCTATATATTCTAGATGATATACAGTATATCACTTTCTATCTAGTTAAGGTAAAACCATAAAGTGTCAATTCTCATTTATTTTCTTTAAATTCTCATTTATGGTTTAATTTATTTTATAATACATGAATTTTTTAAATTAATTTTCTTATTATATTTTTTAATTGCGGTATTTATTATATTGTTATTAGAACAGCTCGTGTTCTTTTATTGGCAGAACGAATTGAAAGAGTCAGTCTTTGTCGGGTTACTACTTCACAGATATAATGAATAATGAATAATAAATTATTATTTATCTTCTTTATTGGCATGTGATGTACAGTTTAGGACAAAAAAAATCCTTTGTATTTTAATAAATAAAAATTTAAATTTAAATAATTTTAATGCCTATAAAATGATTTTAATTAAAAAAAATTGTTATTACTTTAATTTTGTTAAAAAACCTTTATTATACTTTTTATCTTATGTCTAGATGTTGTAAAACAAAAAGCAAATTGTATATATTTTTATAATTTTACTTTAATATAAAAGAATAATAACTTAAATAACAAAAAATTAATATATTACTAATAATAATTTAATAAATTTTTTTTTAATATTTATTAATTTGAAATGATTTTTAAATTTATAAATGTATTTTTTATAATTCCTTTATAACTTTATAAAGTTATAATAGAACATTAGACTTATATTGTATTTATTATAATATCAAATTATTACAAAACAATTTTGATTTAAAAATTTATTATTAACTTTGTTATAATATTAATATAATATAATATTTTTTTTTATTAATATTTATAATTTATATACAGGGGTATCCAAAATTATTTGAGATTTTTTTCAATATCAAAATCAAACACAAATTTAAATATAAATATATGAATACTATAAAATTACTTTTACTTATAACTAGTTTATAGATTATA